AAGTCATGCTCAGTCTCATTCAGTTCCCTAAAAAAACACGTTCCATTCCCTAATCCAAGCTCTTCCAGATTTATATACTCAGGTATCGCGCCACCTTTGATAACACAGTGGATTCTTAAGCTCGCATTATACGATCCAAAACTGCAGTTGTGTGAGGGAAGCGTGGTAGGAATAGCGGTGCTAGTCGGTGCCGCGGTAGTAGTGGGCGCTGGAGTCGTCTCCGGCACAGAAGTATTCGTATAGTTACTACTTAAACTCTCATTGCTAGTCGAGTTCCCCAGACCAATTTTTTCTAAGATAGTTGCAGCTGTCGTAATAGGAGCTTGCGTTGTCGTAGTTAGCSGCTCTGGTTTGTGACAAGGACTTTTGATTACTTCGGCATAGACTATAATGTCAGCGTCCTGGCTCCGTTGTTCAATTGATTGCGCCTCCCAGTCTGGGTAATCATACGACCTTGAGCAAAAGCTATTAATCTGCACTATAGTCGTACTATATAGACCAAGAAAGAGAATCAAAAAGCACTGCATTTTCGTTAGATATATGCGTTACCTTTCCCTCGAAGTGCTTCCAGCCTATGTAAAWAAACCACTTGAAAGCAACTCTTAGTAGCGGCTACAAGATAAGGCGTAATYGTTTACCCGACAGGTATATCACAAGGCAAATAAACAAAGCAATCAAACCAGCCAATCAAATCTTGCATTGAAGTGACGCAATCCAGGGCGATCGGCGCTCATGAATTATTCATGATTTTGTGTTGTTTTTACCTGTTGCAGGTGAAATCAAAGTTTTGAAGAAAACAATCGTAAATCAATATTTTTCAAGAAGAAATGTATAATATTTGCTTAAAGAAYTTGAACAGTAACTTTGAATATTTGAAATTTATCTCGCGTTGATTCATTAAGCGATCATCCTCGCGACAGAGTATATTTTAGTGGACGTCAATCAAAATATTTCTATTGCACTCTCATGAAATAAGTGTTTTAAGTGCACACGAATTAACATGGGAACGCCCTGAGTTACAACGTGCACCAAACATATACATAGCTTCAACAGCAAAGCGTACGAATCTGCGGACCTTTTATTAAATTTGAGCGTAGTCTGCGAGTGGTTATTTTCCTTATCCATAGGAACAAGACTCATTAATTAACTCATTAACCAGGGCCCGGTTGTAAGAAGGGTGGATAGTGCTATCCGACGGATAAATCTTATCCAGTGAATAAATCTATTGGATAATAGCATCAATTTATCCACTGGATAAGGATTTATCCGTCGGATAGCACTATCCACCCTTCGTACAACCGGGGCCCAGATTGTTTGGTACTTTAAAAACTTCTCGACAAAGTGAAAAGTTTCTTATAAATCTCCAAATACACAGGAGCAAGTTATAAAGCTCCAAATGAAAAATCCCATTCTATAACATATTAATACTATATTATATTATAACTTATTCATATAACGTAAAATCCATAACGACGCTTCATAATATTACAACGAAACAAAAACAGACAAAAATGTAGTCTAAACTAGAAAGCATAAGAGATAAAAGAATTTAAATAAAAAATATATAATATAAAAAAATAATAGATTAATCAATAGAATAAACCTGTCTGAATAGGTA